TTTTGTATATGTTTTTTCTTGGAACAGAACCCACTTCCATATTTTGCTCGTTTTCCTGAAGCAGATATGTTAACATCAAGCGATCAGATTAGACCAACAACAACTGATGACAGTTTGGAAGTCTGGCAGAATGGTATTTTCTTCTAATTTCAACGAATCTTAATAATAAGTAATAACCACACTAGCTGGTACAGATATATTAAACATTCTTGATTTTTTTTAATATGCCAAGTTGTACTGATATAATAAGATTCTGGTATGGGTACCATTACTTGTACTAGAATCTAAAATGTTTGACCTTATCATGTACACAAATTTTTACACACAATCTTCTTTCCTGTAGCAAAAATTATCTCGATAAACTACTCGGTAGGTCCTTTATAATTGGGCATAAGTAATAAAACTGACATTCTGTTTATGACTCATTTCACAGTCGAGTGAATCTTAGTTAGTATTATCAAATACATCATCTTAGTTACTTTTTAATTGTTAGTGATAATGGTTGTTCAAAGATATCAAACAATGTTGCTGATGTCAGGTTCTATGAAGGAGCCTATAAACTAGACTGTAGAAAACTTGGTGTTTAAGTTTGCATATGTCCACATGGCTGACACATGTTGTGGCAAAATGGCACTTGTCTTGGTGGCACGTAAGGTGCAAGCCAAAATGAGGCTAATACACAGCATCTGCACTTTCATTTCTTTCCTTAACCCTTTCTTAACGTTCTTTAAAGTTTTATTTAATCAAAATTTGACTTTGATAGTTCTAGGATCGTTAATTAATATTTTCCCCTTCTATTGTTTGTAGTAACTACTGCCTACAATATTGGAATATTTCATTGGCGTCCCACTGATGCTGCAAAAAGGCTAGCTAAGGAGTGGAAAGATATACTTTTAAGTGATGACCAGAAATGGGACCAGGCTGGCTTTAATGATCTTGTCCACCAAGTTTTAGGACCATCACTTGAAGGAGAAAGTGGACTTTTTTATGCTTATGATGGGACCCTTAAGCTGGGTCTTTTGCCAGCAAGTATATTTTGCAGTGGGCACACATACTTTGTCCAGGTAGTTCCTTTTGATTGTCTTTGTTGCTGTTAATTCATTGTTGCTCATCCAATTGTGGTTATGGTATAGTATGTTGTATGTTATTCTATGTTTTAAAGCATATAATGTGAATCCTAAGCAACAATTCTTTTCTTCTAATTGTTCTTGGAATTGTTATCCTGTTAAATGGAAAAAAATATTTTTTTGCCAATTTACAAAAATAAGGGTGACATACAAAAATGTTCAAATTATAAAGGAATTTTAATCATGAGCGATACTATGAAACTTTGGAAAAAAGTTATCGAAAGTAGGATAAGGTTTAAAACAAATATCTTTGAAAATCAATTTGGTTTTATATCTTGAAGATCAACAATAGAAGCTATTTATTTATTAAAACAATAAATGAAAAAGTATAGGGAGAAAAAGAAATATTTGTGTATGGTTTTTATCAAAGTTCGTTTTCGTATCGTACCAATGTTTCGAGGTTTGCTTGTTACGGTATCGTATGGGCGTACACTGCCTCAGTATATATATATATATATATATATATATATATATATATATATATATATATATATATATATATATATATAATATAAAATATAAAAAAAGAAAAGGAGGCTTACATTGCCTCGGCGACGTCGCCTCCTTTTCTTCTCCTCATCCGCAGTGTTCGGCAAAGACATAGAAGGCCGTAGACGTCTCTGACTTTCGACGCAACACCACGAGGAGAAGAACGCAGTCTTCTCTTCATCTACGACTTTCGGCGAAGACATCGAAGGCTGTAGACGTCTTCGGCCTTTGACGTGACGTGACGAGGAGAAGAACGTGGTCTTTTCCGCATCTGCAACGTTCAACGAATACGTTGAAGGTCGCAAACATCTTCGGCCTTCGGTGCGACGCGACGCGACAAGAAGAAGAACACGGTCTTCTCCTCATTTGCGGCATCCGGCGAAGACGTCGAAGGTCGCATATGTCTTCGGCCTTCGGTAAAGAACGTGACAAAGAAGAAGCCGAGTCGTTGCCTCTCTGTTACCTGCTAAATCAGGATCGTCAAGGGTGGGTGTGGCGCTAGATTGAAAAGCGTCGAGGTTCTCCCGATTCTCCCTCTTCTTCGAGCGTCTTCTCCCTTGATGCTTCTTCCCTCGCCGCAACTAGGTTGATACTGCCCGGTAGCGGGTAGATCGCGTACTGGTCTGTTGACGGACCGATATGTATTGCCTTGTATGCGTGGTATTATTCAAAATTAAAATCCTTGGTTTTTATTGATTTAGAGAAAGCATATAATAGAGTTCCTAGAGATATATTACGGTGGGTTTAAAAAAAGAAAGGTATTCCACTAATTATATTTAAGTTATTAAAGATAT